TATATATATATATATATATATATATGTATATATACTTTTTTATTTGTACATAACATAGTTAAAACTCCATGCTTGAAGAAAAGGAGACGGCAACCGATAGATGTTTTTAACCACTTTCATAATCAAAAGAAATACACCAAAAATCGTGACGGCAACAATTGTAAATATTACACTTTTTATTTTTACTCACAGGTAAAAATAACGGCACCAGTAAAATAATTTTCTGGAAGTTTATAGAATTAAACTATGTATTTAAAAAAAATATAAAAGTTTTAAATTGAGTACATTTTAAATGTAAGATTTTATCTTATTCAAGGTCTTTTTACAAATGTTTTACATTAATAAGTCTACTGTACGTACTCTAGCTCAGTGGTTCCCAAAGTGTGGGTCGCAGGACAAAGGGGAGGAGGTCACTTGGTGATTTCCAAAAATCTAAGAAATTTTATTAAACTATTAGAATTACCATATTTTATCCATAACCTTCAGAAGATTAAAAATAATATTTAATATTAATATTTAAAAAAAAAACAATGTGCAAATAAAAAGCCATTAGCCATTCGATTAGTTTAAATTGTGACCTCTCCCGTGTTTATCAACACTGCAATAGCATCAGTTGCAGCATATTGATTTTACAGTACAATGTGAAACTTTGACACCTTTACGGCACTCACATAGGCTACATTAAAAATAAAGACGATGAATGATCATGGAGGATGATCTCCAAGTAGCGGTCTTCAAAATTAGAATAGACTTTTACTGTAAGCATTATGCCCACCAGTCTCATTCAGTGAGGTTAATATTAAATTAAACCAATGAATAAATGGCTATAAAAAAAGTATCTTGTTGAAAGGCTGTTGCACTTTGTGTCGTCAATATGTTCGTGTTTTTATAGGCTTTTTGGTGTGTGTGCATTTTTGTCTGCAACATTTCTATGTTTATAACCATTTTCGAGGATAGTGGGGGTCGTGATTAACTAGAATTGTTATTTGGGGTGTTGCGGGCTGAAAAGTTTGGGAACCCGTGCTCTACTTTAATAAATAAAATATATTGATAAAATAAAGTTACAGTAAAAAAAAGAGTGGGCTAAAATATGTATTTTGGTGTCTGCAACAAAATACATTTACAAAACTGATTTTCTATAGCAAACATAATAAGCATTCTTAATGCAAGAAGTAAAGTGCCTACATTAATGTTCCAAATGACTAGTGAAATGAGACGTCAAACTGCTGGTGCATAACAGAATAATTCTGACTTTACATTTATTAAAATTAATAGAATAAGAGATCCTATTTCACATGTTTAAAATTATCAATTAAATACTGTATTGCTGACAAAGGGCAACAAATTGTTTTGTAGTGTAGATTTCGATGATTACAGAGTTCTAGTTTTCTTTAGAATATCTTCTTTTATGTTTTACTGACGAAAGAAACTCGGACAGGTTTAAAAGAAGTAAAGTGTGAGTAAATGATGACAGGATTTTCATTTTTGGGTGAGCTATACTTTTAAACCAGGCACATTCTAACGGGGAGAATAAAAAATAAATTACTTTCTTTTACCTTTTACTTTCCATTGTTATCATTCATTCATTAATTTTCCATTGGCTTAATGCCTTATTTATCAGGGGTCCCCACAGCGGAATGAACTACCTACTATTCCGGCATATGTTTTATGTAGCGGATGCCCTTTCAGCCAAAACTCAGTACTTGGAAACCTTTTTATTTTAATTTTTATTATTAAAAAAAAAACATGACCACCACTGTAGGTAGCATGTTGGCTCAATGGTTAGCACTGTTTCCTCAAAGCAAGAAGATCACTGGTTCCCCACCGGGTCAGTTTGCATTTTTGTGGTGTGTTTGCATGTTTACCCTGTGTTTGTGTGGGTTTCTTTACCGGTGCTCCCAATTCCCCTACAGTCCAAAGACATGCGCTACAACTGAATTGAATAAGATAAATTGGCTGTTGTGTATGAATGTGAATGTGAGAGTGTGTGGGTGTTTCCCTGTAATTGGTTGCAGCTGGAAGGGCATCAGCTGTATAAAACATATGCTGAATAAGTTGGTGGTTCATTCTGCTGTGCCGACCCCTGATGAGTAAAGGGACTAAGCTAAAGAAAAATAAATGAATGACCACCTCTGCCAGCTTCACTAATATACTCCAGATGAATTATGTA